GGCCGGGGAGCGGGGTGTGGGCCCGCAGCTGCTGTCCAGCTTTCGGCGGCCCCGGGGCCCTCCGTCCCGCAGCGCCATGGGCAATTGCCACACGGTCGGGCCCAACGAGGCGCTGGTGGTCTCAGGTGAGGGGCCGGGGGCTCTGGGAGGGTGGGCTGCCGGGCTGGGGAGATGGCTGAGGGGTTTCGGGGTGGCTGTCGAGCTGGGGAGGGAACGAGGATCGAGGGCTGGGCCCAGAGAGGAGCCCCCAGGGAGGAGGGCAGCGCTGGGGGACCGTGGGCCCGAGCCGACCGCGCCCCGCTCGGGGCGCTGCCCAGGGCCACGGCCACCGCCGAGAGACCCCTCCCCAGAAGGAACCCCGGTCATGCTTCCGTATTCGCGCCCTCGGCCACCCACCGGGGTCTCCCCCTCCCTCCCACGGCGCGTTTAGCCCCTCCTCGCTACGCGGGGCGCGCCCGCCGCTGCACCGTGGGTCAGGGGTCCCGAGCTGAAGGCAGCCGTGGGGTTCCGGGGAAGAGGAACCAGCGTGCCCCGGGAACATAGCGGTTTGGTTGTGGTCCAGCGCCCCGGGCCCCAGGGTGGGTCGCACAGCGCCGCCAGACAGGTGCCTGTGTGGAGGAGGGGCCCCAGCCGAGACTCCCTTCTCGGGGCACAGTCCCCGTTAATTCCGAGCAGGCTGGGGCTCGCCGGGATTTACTGGCATTGCCCGCCCTGGGAACGCGCATGCGGCCTCTACCGGTTGGGAAACCGGGCCCTGGTTACAAAACGCTGCAGATTCCGGAATTTCTGTATCAGGGAGCAGTATTGGGGCAGGGGATGGATGGCTTGCCTTTAGCTTGTGTTTGGGGTGCCTTTGGGAGAGGCCGAAGCCTTTCAAGTCAGCAGTTGGTGCCAGCCCGGACTCACAGGTGCTGGGGAGGGGGTGGTGCTGCCTGACAGCTGGGGGGTGGGGTTGGGGGGCTGCAGTTGGAGGAGTCTCCTGTCCTAATTCCACCACCGGTGCAGAAGCTGTCAGGGCGTGGCTACTGAAGTGGGTAATTGGGGGGTGGGGGAGCTGTTAAGCCAGGGCTTGGAGCTGCCCACCCTTTGAGAAGTGTGGTAATTCATTGGGAAGTGTTACCCCAAAGCGTGGCCTCTGGTCCGATTTGGATCTCAAAATTATTTAATTTCTTCACTGAAACAGGGAGCCCCACCATCCATGATCTGACACCACTCCTGCTGGGGAGGAAAACACTTCCCCTGAAAACAGAGGCAGCCTAGCAGGCAGGGGGATTCCAGGCCACACTGCTCTAAGATCTCCGGCCCTCCACCCAGGAGAAGGCATTCCGAAAGCCCAGGAAACCCTCTTGTTTTCTTATGGAGTCTCCTTGGAAGCCCAGACTCGGCTGAGGGGCCAAAAATGGCAATTCTGTTTCTGTGTAAAAGTCCTGGAGACTGCAGGACAAGAAGAACCCCCTAAGAGAGGCAGCTGGAACCTGGCCCTGGCCCTAGCCCCACAGGCCAATGCAGTGCTCAGAGCTATTGAAAGGGTGGAGGGAAGAGATGTTGGCTCAGGTTTGAGGGTGGTGGAATCGGGGAAGGGTGGGAGAGGAGGGGGAGGGATAATGGCTAGCTTAACTGCACCTTGGGATCTGAGCTCAACGTGCTGAGATGTAGCTTCCTTTTGCTCCTGGACTCTCAGGAGACCTGAGACAGCTACTTCAGCCCCGCCTGCCCACCTGCCCTGTTGGTGGGGTCTGCAACTAAGCGAGGCACCTCGCCCTGCGTCAGTTTCAGGAAGATGTTGCTCCATTTCATGATTCTTTGCACCTGCAAAATCCGGGGGTCCTCCTTACTGTCTAACCTCCTTCCTTCACTCTATAACATAAAACCTTTTTCTCTCTTTCCATTTCTGGGAATTTAAGAGGGGACTCTCCACACCACACTTATCTCTCAAATCCGCCATAGGCCAGAGGTTCCTAACCTGGAGTATGTAGGCAGAGGTCTGTGAATCGGCTGGGGGTGGGGAAGCAAGTATGTATGCTCTTGTTATCACTCACCTTGATTGAAATTTAGCCAATCCGACTATTATGGATGTCTGCAACAAATGGTAATCGGATCCGCAGGTGTTTTTCTATGGTGCTGCAATTGTTGCAGGGACCGTGAAAGATGGCCAGAGCCTACACTACTCCAAAACTAAGCTTTTAGATGAACCAGTAGACGTGATGACGTAACACAGTAATAAAAAAGATTTATATTACCATAGTACACACTTGGCTGTTTTCATATTTGGGTGACTTACAGTATCATTTGTTTCTTACCTATTTTATTTTACTTGTAAACATCCTGAGAAGGAATCCACAGGCATTGCCAGGCTCCTACAGCGGCTGGGGGCTCACACCAAACTAAAATTAGGTGCTATCACGTCAGCTGCCCGCTCAGATGAACCCCAAGTGTGTCAGAGTAGATATTTTGGAAGTAGATCACCAGGCCTTTCTTCTGAGGCACCTCTGGATGGACTCAAGCCTTGTGATGAACAGCCAACCTGTTTGCACTCCACAGGGACGAACACCCCCTCGTAGACTATGGTACTCTTGACTGCGCTGTCAGTGGTTGCAGCCCATGTGCTACCGAGAATGGCTCCTTCCTTGGGGTTTGCTTGGCAAGAATCTCTTATTATTATTATTATTGTTGTAAATATATATCTACAGCACAACATTTTTAGGTGTACAATTGAGTGGTTTGAATTACATAATCATAAAAAAAGAATTACATAATCTGTTGTATAAACACCACCTATGTTGCCAAATTTCCCATTTCCTTAAACAGTGCCCCCACACCACACCACCCCTATTCCTGGTAACCACTAATTCCCTTTAGTCTCTAGACATCTTAATGGATCTTAATAGATGCTGGGTCTTTCTTCCACAGTACTGCTGGATTGGGTTCGATCCACCAACCTTGAGGTACAAGCCATTTGGCACCGTCCAGCTAAGACTGCGGTGGCAGAGCAGCTGGGAGGGACAGGGCTGTTCCTGGGAGGACAGAGAGTCAATCTGTGTCCGGGGAGGGGCAGAGAGCATTTGGGAGGTTGTCTTGGGGAGTTTGCTAGGGCTTCTGTTTGAAGACAGGACAAGCAAAAGCAAATTTGGGTTAGGAAAAAAAGAGGAAGGCAGGAGAAACTTCCAGGATTCAATGAGCGTGGGCTCCAGGGGGTCCGAAAGAAGTGCATGGAGGGCCCTCTGCTGGGAAAGCTCCTCCCGCTGGGAGTGGTCAGGAAGCTGGGAGGAAGAAGCCTGCCCAAAGACACTGCTGGGGGTGCAGCTGCCAGGGAGCCTGGCCCTGTCTCCCGTGCTCTAGGCCCAGCTTAAGCTGTGGCAGCCTACTCCCAAGGTCAAAAAAAAAAAAGGTTAAAAGGGTAGAGTCTCTCTCTTTCTCTCTCTCTCTCTCTCTCTCTCTCTCTCTCACACACACACACACACACACACACACACACACACACACACACACACACACGCTCCACCCCGCCCCTACCACCTGCTCCACAGCATTGAGAAGCCCATGGAGCTGCCTGCAGGCAGCCAGCCATGCCCGGTGCTCAACAAGCCAGAAGAGGTAGAAATGGAACAAGCTGTGATTTTTGTTCCTCTTCCAGTTTGACTTGATCCCAGCATGGTTGGGTTTCAGATGGACTGCTTGTCCTCAGAGGCCTCCCTACCCTGCTTCTTCCGGACAGACAAGCCTGTGTTGGCTTACCTTGAGCTGCAGCCCTGTGGACAGGTGTCTCCACTCCCCAGAGAAACGGACAAGCCTAACATCTCGTGTGTGTGTGTGTGTGTGTGTGTGTGTGTGTGTGTGTGTCTGTGTGTGTGTCTG